ATGATTATGAAGAAGATGCAGGCAAAGAGAAATGATCTCTGTTCTCAAATGTTGTTACTGCTTCTCCACCTCTATTGTGCTTCTCTGGCTTAAGAGGTTTGGCCCAATCTCCTCTTATTTTATAAATTCTAATTGATATAAAAAGTTCACTCTTATCATTTAGGACAATATGTTCAATATGGAGAATGTTGTTTTACTGATGAACAATCACTGACACAGTACCAATTACAGCTCTATCTGTTTCTACAACTACCACATTGTTGGAAACATTGGTCACTGCATTTGCAGGAATCTGTCCGGATTGAGCAAAAAACGAATGCTGGTAATGGTTTATCTGGTTTGGGAATAACAAAACACTGGAAAAATCAGCGATCCATTTTGTCCCATTTGCGGAAACCTTTGTCTTCCCGGTTGTTGATTTCAGCATCATCCCATCCGCGTTGTTGTGATCAATCACAACTTGATCGATATCATGAAACTCTCCTTCTAGCTTGATGATCGGAAAATTTTTCTTTTGATCACCGATAAACATGTTATTGACGATGTTTACCCCGGAAATCTTCCCGTCTACCGATCTCAAGACTATGTTTGCGTCTCCTAAGAATAGGGCGTTTGTGACATGAACTTGAGCCGGACCTTCAATGACTATACCTGTGTAATCAAGGTAACAATTGTCTATCCTTGTTAAATGCGCTTTCACTAGTATGCCGATTCCACCAAACCATGTGGCTTTATTGTAGCAATGCACACCAGTGACCATATTCGCCTGGCCATTCAGAGAAATACCGATCCCAGCCGAGAAAATCACTACATCCGTTATGGCATTATCGGTACTCCAGAGATCGATTCCTGTCCCGGAAAATTGTCTTTCGTCTTTGTCTCCGCCTACCGTTGAATGTTGCCCTAAGAAAGAGTTTGAAATGTATGTCTCGTGACCTCCTTGGACTTTAATCCCCTGAGTTGTGAAATGGAGGAAGTAGCAATTGGTTATACGTATACGAGCTGAGTCAATTACCAAAATACCCCCGCCTCGGAAGCCCGAGTCGAAGAGAACGTCTTGGAAGTTCACATCCTCATAGAAGATCCCAGAGCTCAGGTCTTTCTGATTAGAAAACACATCCTTCGGCGACATTTTCATCGGTTTCCCGGAGTTCGATGCTACTAGTTCGACCAAATGTCTATCACCGGGAAACTCTTCCGATGCCCGGAAAGTCCCGCCTTTTACCTGAAGAAGCCGTAAATATATGAAATTATTTTGCAAAGCAAAAACTCCGAAATTTGCGAAAAATGAGTAAAGATTCAAACTTTTTGCAAGATTCTTAGGCAAAATCTCCAAATCACCAAAAATCGGTTAAAAGATTCAAACTTTTTGTAACTTTCTTGACCAAAAACTCAAAATGTAAATAAGGAACTAACCAATAGATACCGATAAAGACTCAAACTTTTTGCAAGTTTCTTGAGCAAAAACTTAGAATGTAACTAAGGAACTAGATATACCGATAAAGACAAACTTTTTGCAACTTTCTTGAGCAAGAACTCAAAAATGCATCGAAAGGAAACTAACCACGAGATTTCCTCCGCCGGAGGAAGGAAACCTGAGAGGTTTTCCGATCTTGTAACTGCCACCTTGAAGATCAATCACAAGACCACCTAAATCAACGACACGTGGCAGCATGTGAAGCTCAGTTTGTAATTGAAAAGCATCAGTTAAAGCTTCAAGTATTGCGTCACTACTGTCTTGTACACCTGTCGGATCAGCTCCATAACCAATCGGGTATATCACCTTCCCAACCTGCACAAACCAAAACTCACACGCTCACAAAATTACTCACACGTGCATGTACATATACCCTGAAACTGAATGTTGAAAACTTTACCATTTTGGGAGAGTGAGAAGAAGGAGAAGACAATGGGGCGAGAGTTGGAGTGATTGCAAGTCTTTCTTGGATCTTTTCTTGAAATTCAAGAAGCTTTGTCTTGTCTCTTCTTAAGGATAATGTCACTTCAAATTCATTTGTAATTGTGATGAAAAACAGTAACAAGCAAACAAAGGAGTCGATTTTCATTTGGTTTTTCTTGATTGTTGTCTTCTTGAGAGAGAGAGAATGATTTATGAAGAAGATGAAGGTTAGATATGAGCGTGTGTGTGTTGGTATTTAAAAGACATGATCTCTGTTATTAAAATTTTGATTTGTTTTTTCAATGTACCGACTCGAATTCCGATTAGTAAAACACTTTATTTGCTTTATTCATAAGGAAATACGAAAAGACACGCTACAGAATGTTCTTAAAGTTTTTTTTTCCTATAATTTTGATTGCTAACCGGACGATTTATAAATTTAATTATAGCTTTTTTTTATCAATCATATTGTAATTAAAAAAAAAACTATGTCATTTTATGGTTTTAAATGAGTTAATTTTATTTAATTTGAAGATTATGCAGACTTTATGTTTAAGTTCCACGACTTTCTGCAACATTATCATTTATCAATAAAGATAAAATGATGATTTTTTTATGACGAAATAAAATCATTCGTTTTAGACTTTGTTACCATCTTATGACTTTATTCCGTCATAAAGTCTGCTTTTTTACAAACTTATTCATCATTTTACTTATTTTCAACCACTTTTTTTTCTCTTTTGTTGGTGTAACTGTTAAGATTTCAACCACTTATTTGTTAAAAAAGTATCTAACCTACAGAATTCTACATTTGTCGAAGACTTGAAGTGATTACTGAAAATGAAGATTGAGTGTAGTAATATAAATCAATCTACTTCCGAGATAATTTTTTTGTTTTTTTTCATAGCCGGCTTTATAGAAAACTAGTGGAATTAGTATTTAGCTGCTTTATTGAGAATATTCTCATGTAAAGAAAAATAGAGCACTAGATTTTATTGGTCAAAAAAATAAAACTCATCAGAAGTAAGTTAAATCAGTCATTGGCATTGAATCTCAGAGAAAACTAGTAAATGTCTGTCACCAACTCTTCAACTGTATTCACAATTTCCAAGTTTTTTTTTCTCCTTATTTACCTACTACTACTACAAAAAAAACAAAAAATTCCCTTCTTTAGGAAAATTACAAAAACCACCAATATAATTTTTTTTTATAATTATTGAACCATTATTACGGCCAAAAAAACATTAATCAAATTCCTTGATCCACTGTTACATGAACATCTGCAGTAACAGGAGCATTTGTCTCAATGACCACTCTATTCTCCGTAACGTTCCTTAGCGCGTGAACAGGAAACGCGCCAGCTTCACTCGCCACAAGCGTGTACTGCACGTGCTTGATCATATCCGGAAACAACAAAACCGGATTCAAATCAACGGTCCAAGACGTACCATTTCCATAAACCGATCCTTTACCAACCGTCGATTTAACCGCCATTCCGTTCACACTGTTCCGGTCAACGACCACCTGGTCAACGTCACCAAAACCGGAATTCGTCTGATCCAATTGCACAATCGGGACCCCATTACCCGAACCGGAAAACATATTATCAACAATATTAACCCCACGAACCACTCCGGTTATCGCTTTCAGCAAAATAAACGCATCACCCAGAAAAAACGTCCCTGAAATCTGTAACTGAACCGGATCTTCCGCGACGATACCGGTATAATCCAAATAAGAATTCACAATTCGGTTCTGAGTTAAACCGGGTAATTTCAAATAAATTCCGGTTCCTCCAAAACCGGTTGCTTTGTTATAACAATGCACACCAGATAATAGATTCGCTTGTCCGGTTATCATTACCCCAATCTTGGCCGAGAAGATAACGGTGTCAGTAACGGCGTTATCGTTACCCATCAGATTCACGGCGGTGCCGGAAAAGTTTCTCTCTCCTCTGTCTCCACCGGCGGTTATGTGTTGACCAAGAAACGAGTTTCGAATGTAAGTCTCATGTCCTTTTTTGACAAGGATTCCGTTTGTGTCTCCGAATCTTGTGATGTAACAATTGTCTATGCTTGTTCGGAGAGAATTCACGACGGCGATTGCTCCGCCGCGATAGTTACAGTCGATGAGAAGATCACGGAGAGTTATGTATTCGAAGATGTATTGTAACTTTGATGATTCGTCTTTGAGTTCGATTAGGTATTTATCCACCGGAAAATCATTTGATGCCCTTAATGTTCCTCCACTTATCTGACGTGTGTCACAAGTCAAGAAAAAATAAACCATTAATATTATAAAAGAAAATTTTTTAAAGGAAAATGTATTACAAATGGAATAACCAAGTTTATAAAATAGAGATGTAATGAGAAGATTTTTTTCAATTTTTTATTAAAATTTCCACTTGTGAAATGATATGATTGTAGAGAATTCAACTTGTGCAATTATATGATTGTAGAAGAAAAAAACAACAACAAATTATGTAGAATGAAATTAACAAGACTATAAGATAACAAAAATAAGTTTTTAATTGTTAACGACAGTTTTATATTTTTTAAATGTAAGTATTATTAAGCATAGAAAGTTGTAACTTTGATAGGAATAAACTTTT